TTTTAAGTTATTGTTTTTAGCATAGTTATTGAAAAGTTCATTAGGTTCAAATGTCAACTATGTGATTTATTGGCCAGATAACTGTGGTCCTTATGAGTAAAATATGGAAAATAAGAGCATCTACATCGCAGATTTATTTGCAAGAATTATGAAAGAGTTGACAGTGACTCCGATATAGTTAAGTACTCAATACAAGATGTAATATTTATTAGCACATGCAGTATAAACTTCCTTTTGTTATTTACTAAAAGATTTTATGTCATATAAATTTTATGTTCTTATGAGTTTATACCTAGTTTAAATAATGTAGATAATCCAAGAGACCAATAGTGTAAACTCGCGGGTGTTCAGTTAATTCTTTGGAAGCCTTTTGCAGACAGACACAGTGGAGCTGTATGATCTGAATCTACAAATGGACATTTTCTCTTATGGGGCACAGGAAAACCTGTGTCTTGTCCTGACCCTGCATTCTACCACTGACAGACTGCTGGATGCCCCTGAGAATCTTTCTAGACTTAACATGTTTTCATAAAGCACACAGAATTGGCTTAAATGAGCTCTGAAGTGTGCAATCTACATTCAATATCAAACTATTTCTATTATGTGCTGATAGTTAGTGATTTAATACTAAATATGTTCAAAACCAAAAGAAATTTAAAGAAAAGAATATGGATGTGGCAAATGAGAATCTGCATTGAACTGCAAATGATAGAGGATGATTATGATTCATTCCAAAGTCCTCATAGGTAAAAACAGTGGGAGAAACGAGTCTCAGCAATTATTTGTAGACTCTTTTTAGCAAACTTTGAAGGCCCCACAGTGTAGAAATAACACTATCAAGGACTTTGGTCCATCGTTTATCCCCCATAGGGAAGGTTTTATGGAACATTGTTAATCAGCTGTCTCTGAGAGGCGTATTTTTTTTTGAGAGGCATATTTAAAATCAGATAGAAATAATACATGGGTGGAAAGCAGAAATTGCAAGAGATCTTTAATAAATGTAGAAAAGGAGGAATAGTTAATGTGACAGCCTCTCCCCGGGGAATACAAAAGATAGGCCAAAGAAAGTTATCAAAAGAACACTGTGATTTTGAATGGGAAAAGAGGATGCAAGAAAAAAAAATCATCGTTGAACTCTGTGTGCTACTTTTTTTGGGGACCGGTGATCAAACTTGGGACCTTGTGGTTGTGAGGCAGGCAGTGGCACTGCTGAGCTAAATCCCCGGCCCGGCCCTGTATGTTACTTTTATAAGAGAGGAATTCAGCAGCTGGACAGACCTCACACAATTAGTGGTGTCCACTCATGATGACATTTTGGTAGCATCTAAAAGAATCAGGAAACAAAACCCACAGGTTGTGTAGGGATATGATATATGAACATATAAGATATAAGGCTATGAGGTGGGAGGAGATGGTAATGAGAGATTTCGATAAGAAGTAATGAGATAATTGCTTTGACAGGGCTAGTGAGAAATATTTGAGTTCCTTTTATTCTCCCCACCTGAAATTCTTAGTAATTAAAATTAAAGAAAGAAAAAGTAGAAGACTAAAATAATCTGCCATCTACTATATGTACGAATTTTAAAAGCAGTTTAAATTCTTAAAGTCCTTTGCATCTGAGCAGTTTGTGTTTCATGACAGCAGTGCTCTTAGGAGTCATGAACTACATGGTGGAGAACAACCTGAGAAACTCCTGAAGAGATATTAGTGAGGTAATAATGAAATAAGCTGCACGGAACAGTTCACTTGCTTTTGTTTTCCCTGGCTTCCATTCATTTCTGAAGGATTTGTTGAGGTAATGGAAGTTTTAAAAAAGGAACTTTTAGGGTCTGAATTATATACTATTTTTTCATTGACAAAATCAAAACAGTTGTCGGTTCCAAAATACCTTTGTCCTGGAGAACAAGTAGCTTCATTATTTTGTTTTCTATCATAGCATTTATGTCTCAGGCTCCACTCTGGAAAACCTTCCTTCTGGGAGGCGTTGCAAGCTGCTGAGTTGGACTCAGGCTGTTGGTGTTTGTCTCCACAGTGTTACTGTCCCAGTTTGGCCACATCCTGATTCCTGAGGATATACTAGAGTGTCTTCACTCTCCAGACGTTTCCTCACCTCCATCAAATTTACTAGAAAACACTTTACTTGTGAGGCTGTTGCTTTCTTTTTAGTGACAAATCGTGAATGAGCAATTTGGTGAAAGATCCATAACAACAATTAACAAGTGCTAATAATTACTGCTGCCAGGTAGCTAAGACACTTTGAAAACTCCTATAGGAATAATGACATTAATAGTTTTAATAATTAAGGTTTACTAAGGGCTTCTTATGACAAGACCTAGCACTACATTTTTCAATTAATTATTTTCATTGAAAAATTAATCATTTCATATTTAATCTTACCAACAACCTAATATGATCAATTTATATTATTTCTATTTTACACATGAGAAAATGAAATCTTGGTAAATTTAAGAAACTTGACCAAGATAAACCAGGGCACAAAACTTCAAATGAACGCTGTTCTAACTCAATCTTGCTTGCTTCTCAAACCCCCAAATTCTTGCTTGCTTGCCGCTCTCCACTTGTCCTCTGAATTCCTCCTCCTCCTATCTAGTATTTTAAGGCAAGTGTGAGAATGAAGATTGTACTACAGATGTCCATTATGTTCATATAAATGGAGTAAATATAATAAATTACTTTACATAGTCACCAAATATGTATCAAGATTCCACTATAGGCCAGATATATATCCAAGGAAAAACTGACAAACATAACTGTACATCATAATATAAATACATGTTTTACAGGCTAATATTATTCTTCAGTGAATAGATGACTGAGTAAAATTATTATGGAGACAATGTCCCAACAAATACACAAAAATAGACTGCTTTTTAATATAATCTTTGTGAAAATATTGTTCATTTGAAACTCCAAGAACATAAAAGGATAACAGCAGGGAAATGATTTAGAATTTAGTGGTTAAACATTCTATGACGTCAGAGTCACATCAGACTCTAATAATTTTTTTTAAGTTCACTTTAACATTTTCAAATGCCACACCCTTGATGCTTGGAAAAAGTATTTGAATGCCTAAGTTATAAATGATTATTTTCCTGTTAAAAATTATTTATTTTAGTTTACATCTCTAATTTTGTATTTTAATATTCTGAAATAGTCTACTCAGTAATTGTATTGAGATGATGCTTTTTGTGAATTAATGAACTTCTTGGTTTTGATCAACAGTGTTCACTGTATTTCAATGTGGTTTTTTACATATGAAAAATATAATATGTTTTTTCTGAATATCAACTGTGGTCTACATTCTTTATGTGTCTGTTCAGTTATTTAATATCAAATACTTATAGTAATCAAACACAGTTTAAGTACACTATTAGAGTGAGAAATGCATGAAAATTTATTTACTTTATTATATGGATATATGATATATATCTAAATAATAAAATTTACTATAATCAATAGGCTGTGTCTTGTGTTACTTTATATTAGTAATGATACATTTGTTGACCTTCAAATTCTTTTCTTTCTTGGGGCCAAGCATAAGGAAATTGGTGAAGGTTTGAGATATTGCCCATACCTCTGTAAAGACCAAAGCCCATATGGAAGAAAAAAAGTCATTTAGGCTAATCACTTCATCTAATATAAAATTAGGATAGTATTTACTTTTAGCTAAAAGATAACAATATCATTAGCCCTAAATTCATTGTTTCAAAAATGAAAGTATTGGGCCAGGGATTTCGCTCAGTGGTTTTGCCGCCTGCCTTGCAAGCACAAGGATCTGAGTTTGATCCCTGGTACCCCCCCCCAAAATTAAAGTGTTACTTAATCAAATCTGATTGATTGTTACATTCAATAGGATGTTTTTAGTTAAGGATGGTCTCCTTTCTGGGGCAAAGAAAACAAATGATGGCATTTTCTGAACTGACTGTTCTAGGAGGGATCTATTAACCAAGAAGCTGCCTTAAAATTGTAAGCATTAGCTGCCCCTTTATCACTTTAAATACTGTTCCCCCCTTATTTTTGCGAAGAAGAAAGCCTGATTCAAAATAGAAGTATCTTGTATAGGATTATGATGGCATTTGCTACTTTTCATTATACTTGTTTGCTGGTCCATTTCACGTTTTCCAAGTCAAAAAGCTACTCAAAGCCCAAAAGTTGTGTCTCACGTATTTTTTCATCTTAACTACTCAGCACAGTGCCCTCAGTTCGGAAAATAAATAAATAACCATGTCACTAGGCTATGACATTTATGACAGTCTACTTTGAATTTTATTTCATGTTCTGCAATAAATTCTTCTGTCTCAAGACTCAATATATAATGTGATGTTTACAGAGCAGTCATGGCACATATCTATGAGCTGTTGATTGTTTTCACTATTTTCTATGAGAAACAACCTTTCTTTTAATATTGTTTTTATTACTATAAATAATATGAAATTTTATTACCCAAGATGATTCATAAAATGACTCTACTCTGAATGAAATAGATTACTATTTTATCATTAGGGTTAATACTATAGCATTTAGGCTTATAAGAAAGTATTTCTTCTATTTTGTATAGTCAGAATGAAACATGTGATCAAGTATTGACATATCTGGACTGAGTTGTGCTATTATATATGATTCATGAATTTGGCAAACATTCACTAAATTCACTGATGCTGCCATCCGTATCAAGTCTTGTTGATGTCACATGTTATCATATGTCAAAGATTATCATATACATCCTGAATGATAATACTGTTTTTTAATGACAGCATTTATCTTCTCTCTTAAAAAGAGACACATGATATACTGTAATTCAGTGGAAACCATAAATGATGTTTTCATTTTTAGGGCCTATATTTAAAAGAAATACTACAACAACACTGATCATACTGGAAAAATGTTTGGATTAATTGCAAGAAGGACTTTTGGTAGTCTAATGTATATTTAATTCACTAGTTGGAATTCATTGATTCATTACCCCAATTTCATTCCAGGCCCCCCAGGCCCTCCGGGTGGTCTGAGAATAGAAGATATTAGAGCCACTTCTGTGGCCCTCACTTGGAGTCGAGGGTCTGACAATCATAGTCCTATCTCTAAATACACCATCCAGACCAAGACTATTCTTTCAGATGACTGGAAAGATGCAAAAACAGGTACGTTTTCTTTATATGGTTAATCTGTTTCAAAGATTTATGTGAACATTTTAAATCAAAAATTAAAACTTGAAAGTTTTAGAATTTCATTTTCTACTTTGAAATGCTTTGTTTTTTTACCATTTTTATTTTACTGTTCCATCCAGTTCTTTGGTAATGAGAAAAACTACATGGAGTTTAAACATTTAATCATTTTGAAGTTGCAGTGGAAGAAGTAGATTGTCTAAATCTGTAATGGAAAAAGAAAGGCCTCCAGGGTTTCTTATTTGAACTGTATGTAATATTAAGATTTACTGGCAAAAAAATCTTTGGGAAGTCATTGTTTTGGCAAATGGTACATATAACATTATTTATGACTCATCTAATAATATAGGTGCTATAGTCCTGCATCTTAAAAAAGCCATACTGACCATAAATATTAAATTTACACATTTTATTCCCTATAACCTTAAAAATGTTTAAAGTTTTGGATCTTTCAAACTTTTTCTTATGCCGGGGATTTAGCTCAGTGGTTTTGCTGCCTGCTGCGCAAGCGCAAGGACCCAAGTTCAATCCCCAGTACCAAAAAAATAAAAAATAAACACTTTTTCTTATCTTATATTAAGATGTTCTACAAGTTGATCAGGAAAAATAAGAATTGTCTGTGACTATTACCATTGCTATTGATCATGACTAATCTAGAATATCACACATTGGTGTATATTCACCTGTACCATAAAAGAAGATGGAAGATATTTTTGGTAAAATAAAGTGTTTATGTCTGTCAGTAATGTAATATTTTAAAACAAACTTGTGGCTGCATTTTTTTAGATATATAAAGAAGAGAAGTAGAGAGAGCTTTTCTCATTTGTCACTAATGAGGAAATAAAGGATGAGTGGTAAATAAGACGTTTCTTCCTTTCAAAAACTAAAAAACAAATCTCTGTCTCAAACTTGCTGTCTTTTTAACTTTTTCTTAATGGAATGGAATTTTGTTATATTGCTCACTAAGATGATTTAATTTAGATTTATTTGTATGATTTTGTTTCCTCCCAAAGAAAATGAACCAAATATAAATTTAACATCTGTTACAAAGATTTAGGCTATATCTCAGGATCAAATAATTCTCCTCATTAGGGTATATAGTTCAAATGAATTGGACACAGGTGAAATATTTCCATGATATGGTGCTTATGGTTATAAGAAGTTTGTATATATATATGCTAGACAAAATCAGATGCTATTACTTAGAAATCCAGATTAGATGTTTGATAAATTTAAAATATAGAAAGTTTCTAATTGTATGAAGAGAATGATAAACACAATAATGATGAAACTATAGATAACATTAGAAATCTAGCTATGGACACTGATTATAAATCCTGGAGAGCAAAATGAAATAAACAAATGGTGAAAATTCGGTTTGGATCCAAAAAAGGAATTTTAATTACAATCATTTTCATTAATTACTTATATATGTTTGCTATGCAGCTCATTCAAAAAGTGTCTCGTTAAAAAAAAAAAATCCAATAGAAATTGAGTTCCAAAGGGTGAAGACTTTGTTTTATTAATGGTTCTGACCCCAGCAACTATATTAGACCCGTGCAGCTCATTCATTAGATATTTATTATGCACCCAAGTGTGGTAAGGCCTGATCTAGATGCCAGAAATACAGCTGAAAAATATATAGAAACACCACCTTGTTAAAGAGCTTACATTCCAATAGGATTGATGCCCATAAACAATTAAAATATACGTAAGTCAGGTGGTGATGCATGCAAGGGAGAAACAGGACAAAATGATGAGGTAGTGTTTTCAGCGGAGTACTCCTGATGTGAGCAAAGCCATGCCTGAATCTTTCCTAATGCATTTTTTTTCAGCTTGTTTTTTTTGAATCTAACTTTTTTTTTCTGTTGACAGACTATAGATGGAATTTATTTTTAAAAGAAATTTTATTTTATTTTGATAATCTGTCATTTGATTGAATTATTTAATCCATTAGTATTTAATATTATTGATATAGTTCTATTTATAGCTGCCATTGTATTTTTATTTCCAAATACTTTACTATTTTGTTACTCTATTTATTTTTTGCTACTTTCTCAGGAATTAGGTACAGAATTTCTAGTGTAACATTCTAATTTCTGGGCCAGGAATTTAGCTCAGTGGCACTGCACCTGCCTCACAAGCACAAGGTCCTGAGTTTGATCCCCAGTACTTCCAGAAAAAAAAAAATTCTAATTTCTTTAATGATAGCCACTGTGTATGTACACATATTCATTTCTGTTGTGTTTAACAGATACATCTGAACTTCTCAGAATAGATTTCAAACTTTTACAGACTTAACTTCAGTGAGATACAGAATATATCTCCTACATGATTCTGTTTCACCTTCCTCTTTTTCTATTCTATTATTACTACATATATATTTATATTACATCCACATATCTTTACCCACCTAATAATCGTTCTATTACACTTACTGCTTTCTATAACTTTATATCTCTAAACAACTCTAAGACAATCATATATGAATATTTGCAGAGCTTGTTTTATTAATATTTTTATCTACCCTTTTAAAAGGTCTTCCTAATTTGGTATCCATTTGCTACAATCTCATTATCCCTGCCCCTTTGTGTAGCTATAGTCAAATACATTACATTTCAATGTTTTACAGGTTTAAGAAGACAATTTTTTACATTTATATATGTATATAACACACACACACACACACATACACACACACACATATATATGCATGTTGTCCCTCAGTATTTGTGGGAATGATTTCAGAATCCCTATGAATATCAAAATCCATGGATACTTAAGTCTTTTATATGAAATGGTGTGGTATTTGTATATAACCTACAAATATCTTCCCATTCTTTAAATTGTCTCCAGATCACTTATAATACCTAATACAACAATGTATATACTAGGTAATTAATTGTTATACTGTAATCATTTAGGGAATAATAACAAGAAAATGTTCCACAGATTTTGAATTTTTTTTAATATTTCTGCAGTTGGTTAAATCTGTGAATGTAAAACTCATGGAATATGGAAAGCTGGTTGTGTATGTAGTCTTCTGCAATTGCCTTTAAATTGTTTAAGAGAAGAAAAGAGAATAACTATGTCTTTTATAATTATATACCTTTAGCAGCTCCTTATTTTTTCCATGATGTTACAAATTACTCTCTGGAATCAAATACTTGTAGCCTGAGGAACTTCCTTTAATACCTATAAGACAAATATGTTAGAAACAAATTCTCTCAGGTTTTGTTTACCTGGGAGGATCTTCATGTCATTTTTATTTTTAAGGTGTAGATTTATTTTGATGTAATATTCATGGTTGATAGGTTTTTTCTTTCTGTGCTTTGAATATGTCATCTTGTATGCTTTGTATCAGGCTGAGAAAGCTCTTTTCTAGTCTCAGTTTGCTGAAAGGCTTTTAAAGTTCCTTTATGTTTACCAATACACTCATTGCTAGGTTCTCTATTTCTTTTTGTAAAAGCGGATTTCTCCTTGGTTGGTTTCCATCAGTAAACCTCTAATTGTTCAGGTTACTAGAGTCAAAACCTTTAGCTTTTGCTCCTCAGAAAATGTCTTTAATTTCATGTCTAAGTGATGTATTTGTCAAATACAAGTTCTAAATTTATTTGTTTTTCCTTGGGCAGGTTAAGAACATTGTCCCTTTGGGGTTTTTTTTGTCTGCACTGCTCTCTCCTTCCTTTCTTTTTCCTTCCCTCCCTCCCTCCCTCCTTCCCTCCCTCCTTCCCTCCCTCCCTCTCTCCTTCCCTCCTTCCCTCCCTCCCTCCTTCCTTCCTTCCTTCCTTCCTTCCCTCCTTCCCTCCTTCCCTCCCTCCCTCCTTCCCTCCCTCCTTCCCTCCCTCCTTCCTTCCCTCTTGCAATCACTTTCTCTAATTGCCATTTCAAATGAGCTTCTGCGTTTTTCTGAGTCTCCATTCAAATTCCCTTCAGAGCAGAATCGATGAATCACGCTTGCTGGGAGCACAGCTTGGTTTTCTTTTGCTGGAGGAACTGTGCTTCACCTGTGGCTCCTTCCTGTGTTTTTCCAGGTGTTCACTCTATGGGTTGGGTCTCTAGGGCCTCTAACACAAGACTAAGTAGTTATGTCAGAGCCAGTGAGAGACGTTGAAATGCTCCTCCCCAGTCCCAAACAGAGCTCTGCTGTTTAGTTCGAACTCTGAGTGGGTAATTCTTGCTGGTTAATTCAAATAGTTGGTTTTTGGATTGAGATGGAGGATCCTACAAATTGTGATTGAATTTGGACCTTAAGGAAATATCATGGACCCACTAAGGTAACTTCCAAAAATCTAGAACAAGGGATTAAGGTGGCTGGAATTATTCTTGAAACAATCTTTTTTTTTTTTTTTAGTTCTAAAGTGATTCTAGCTTTTTCTGAAGTCCTCAAACACCCAGTCAGGGTAATCTGAAGGTCAACACAGCAAGCATTGTTTCTAGGCAACTACATTTAGTTACTGGCCTTAGGATACCCAACAGGGTAGTGAGAAACTTGACCCTGAGTCTTAGCACCTCAAGAAATTTGTAAATAGATCTATGAATTAGTACTTCTAGCTGGTTGCCAATATAATGGTCTTTGGAATAAGTAAAGAAGTAAGGAATATGGTTTTTAGATAGGAAGAATATATATATATATTTTATAGTGATACCTCTGGTGGCATCACCCAATCATGATCTCATTTCAGTGTAAGATTGTCTGTAAAACGCCACCCTGAGCCAGAACTAACCAATTATAAATTCAGTTGTAGCAATCCAAGTCCTAATCCTCAGTACTTGCCTCTGTTTACAAATTACTCTGCTCTCTAACTCCAGAAATAGCAATGAGCTTGAAAGGAACTTGGCCAAAGAGAGGGCACACACAGACCCACTTCTCTTGGCCATTTTTCTCCTCCATTTGGCTTGGGATATAAATCTGCTTCCAAAGCAAAGCGGATTTCTGCTGGGAGCAGGTCTCTGCTCCTGACCTAACTGACCTAAAAATAAAGAAATAAAGAAATAAAGAAGAAAAAAACAAAGATCCAATAGTGCCTTCCAGGACTAGAGGAATAGGAGAAGATTGCATGAGATATAAGTCCACTTCTATGGATCAGAATAAAACAGATACAAAATATGTATCGATCGGAGGCAAACCCTGTTATGAGCATACACACTAGCAATGGAAAGGAGAAATCAGAAAGGATCATCTCAGTTGAAGAGAATGAAAGCTAACTTAAAAGGATGGAAAAAAAGGCTACACTTGATTAGACGAAGTAGGGCACTGGATGTTTTGTGGTGGGGCAGAGTACAGGAGTGCCCTCCTTCTCTTTTACCAGTAGACTTCCCAACTTAGGGATGAAGGAGACACTAAAGTGATTGCTATCCCCAAAATGGTACCTGTTGCATGCAAACATTATCTATTCTAAATAAATGTAAAATTTTTATTTGTATTTTACTTGCACATTGTTTTTACAAATATTTATTCTTCTATTTGCAAAACATCTTTCTGTAGATACCCTAGGCCCTGAAGTGTGAGAAATCATGCATAAGAGTTAGAAGAAACATGTCCATGTCCACAAATGATAGCCATGAAAACATAAGAAAGATGCAAGAGAAATATTTTGAATCTGGACCTGCTGGAGATGCAGCCAGTCTTAGAGTTCTTGTTGCAATGATTATGTGGTCTACTTGATTGAAGATTGGAGCTGGGGAAAAACTTTTCAGGGAGAGAGATGAAGCCTTTAATTCCTGTCTTGGTGATATTGAATGGGTGAAAAGTCCCACCTGGCTCTAGAGGACTGAAAACAAGTCAGAAGAGTTACTTTTAACATTTGGTCCTTTTCTTTTCTCTTCTTTTCTTGTTTTAGAAATGCTACATGCTTGTCATTTTGCTAAGTTATACCTTGTATGTCAAAAGATAGTTTTTAATTGAGGCAGTGATACGGAAAAGTTTTAGATAACTTAATAGATTGAATATTAAGGTAGTTGTAGAAGCAAAATAAGTAATGTGTTCTTTTAAGATTTGCTTTTCCTGTAACTCCTTGTTTAAGGTGAGGATTATCTGACTCTAACCAGTAACTTCATTAGCCTAACAAAGTTACCATGCCAGGGTGAATTTACAATGTACATGGCCTATCTTGTGTCTGTGACTTGTAAATAGGAACTGGATTGTATTTACATATCAAAGACCACTAGGGATGAGATAATGGCTAAAAAGGATATAAAAAGGGAAATGCTGAACAAAGGGCCAGTGGATATTGGCCAGACTGGTTTCTGGCATTCCTGTCCATTCACGAGAAGAAATTTTATTATTTTATCTGAATTCTGTGTCTCTGTGTATTTCTTTCTGAGATTTCTGCAACAGCAGTAATAGAAATATCTACCAAAACATGTCTAATTCTGATATTTATATTCTCATAAGTACTGATGTTAAAATAAATTGGCAAAAATGATTATAATTGGTTTTGTTCTAAAAAGAGCAATTTTTAAGTCATTGGTAATCCTAGTAGGGAGTATTAATAATTTTAATGTATAGGTTTCAGATTTCTTCTGTAGTCATGCAGAAAGCACATTCTGAGTCCATCTTTTAATATTCAATTCCTACTCTCATATTAGAAGAACGTTTGCATCCCTGGCAGGGCTTCTCACTGGGGTCTACCTTATCTGAGTAGGAACTCCAAGGCTATTTGCTTATTTTTCTTTATGTTTTTCATCTTAGTCACTAAAGTCAAAGGCCAAATCCTTAGTTGGAATTCAAATACTATCATACAATGGCTCCAGTTGACTTTTCCTGGCTTATCTCCCACCATTCCTCTAAATATTCCTCATGGCCAAGTACAGCTCTCTACTCTGTGAATAATCCCTGATCTTCCACATGTTTCAGGGTATTTTCATCCTGGATCCTCATATGCACTTAAAATCAGTCTCCACTGCACATCCAGCTGGTTCGTCCTGTTCTGGCCAGCATACACCTGCTCAGGCCTATTCACCGCTTTCCAGCCTGGAAAAGCCTCAGTATAGCCTTGACCATCACAAGAACACCATATCTTTGGCAAGTTGAGGCATTTGAAATGCTTCCAGCATTTCCATTCTTTAAGCACTCAAACAGTGCTGAGGTTTTACAGCATGGGAAGAAGGCGAATTGTTCAGATTGCCTCTTTGAGCCTTCCACAATATTTTTTCACTCATTTCCCCAAACCCAAAATCACAAACTGAAAAATAGTAGTTCCGTCTGCTTCTTCAAGTTTCCTTGTTATTTTCATAGGACTGGCATAACTGATTTCCACAAACAATAGAAATTTACTCTCATAGCTGAAGCCAAAAGTTCAAAGTCAAAGTGTTAGCAGGGCTGTACCCTTTCCAGATACCCTCTCCAAATGTTCATTTGTTGCCTCTTCCAGTTTTTTGCGGCTCCAAACATTTCTTATTTTAGGGTTGCATCACTGCTGTTACTGTCTCCGGTCACATTGTCTCCTTTTTGTGATAAGTGTCTTTCCTCTATGTCTCTTAAAAGGTCACTTGTCACTGGACTTGGGGCCCACTCAGATAACTCAGGATGATTTTATCCAACAATCCTTAATTACAGGCTAATTTAAAAAGGTTTGCCAAGATCTTCTTTTCAAATAATATAATATTCACAGAGTCTGGTAATTTAGACATGGGTGTATCTTTGGGGGCCACTGTTTAGTTCATGATGGATTCTTTTCTGTTATGGCCTCAAAGTCATTAAACAGTGTCCTGGGGGAAAAGAAACTACTCAATGTAGTAACAATCTGCTCTGCTCTGCTCTATTTTTTCCTTTAACCTATACAGAGATCTTCACAATTCAAAAAGTCCCATTCCCTCTTCTGTTTACCTGAGTCTCTATACATATACATATGAATTGAAATAGATTCTGATTTTATATGAAGGAAAGGTAGAAGGCATATGAGTGAAAGAGGCAGGATGAAAACAGAAGGGAAGGTGAAGACAAACTTAATCAGAAAGTCAGCAAATATATGTAAAATCTATAGGACAAGTCCATAATAAAGTAAGAGTACACATGGCAGGATTAATGTCCAGAAGAGTAAAACTCATAGCAGAGTGAGACCTGAAACAGTCTAACCCATACAGGATTTGTTCAAAAGTAGAAGCTGGACTCCGGAATGCTGTGCATTCATTATAGAAATGAGTACAACCTCTTTAAATGCTGCATATTCATGGTATGCATTTCCAGATAAAAATTCCCAAAGTTTAACATAATGAGTATAGACAAGTCCAAAGAAATAAATTTTCCAAGTAGTGTACAGGTATTTACATGCATATGTATATGTTAATTTTTTTAAAATGTGGAACTATTTGAAGAGAACCTAAAGTAAGGTGTACCCTTGTCTTGAGTGTATATTTTTTATTATACCATATCTCAGTTAAATAAGCCCAGGTCATATCTTATCCATAATTTACAATCACCCATTTGTATCTAGGAGGATGAATTCTGACCAGTACTTAATTATAATACTTACGATCACTGCTCCAAATGACATAAATATAAACATACAAAACTAACTATAAAGGGTTATAAAAAGTATCCTTTTTTAGCATAGTAGTAAAATATTTTCTACTCACAGAAGATGGTAGCAGCAGTGGGTAAAGGTTTTGCCCCAGCTGTACCCATACCTCGGGAAGTCTTTCTAGGTTCTACCTCCAGAACAGGTGTGCTCCCTGAAGGTGCAGTGTGGGGGTGGCCTGGGAGCTTGTTAGAATTCCTATTCAGCCCCACCTCAGGCTTACTAAATGCCTTACACCTATGCGTATCACTCTAGTCATTCTTTTTTTTTTTTTTTTGGTACTAGGGATTGAACTCAAGGCTTTGCATATGCTAGC